TCGGATAGGATAGGCCAGTGGTGGCAAACCTATGGCACACGTGCCAGAGGCGGCACTCAGAGCCCTCTCTGTGGGCACGTGCACCATGCCCTGGAGATGGCAACCGTCTCTCTTCAACCAGCTGCCTGCTAACTCACCGAGGTCCCATGTGGCCAGATGCATCCCAGCACCCATGCACTCGTTGGCCTCTGTGTGCGGGGGCCAATGGTGTCAGGTAGCAGTCGCCCCAGCCCAACTCGACTTACCCTACAACAATGGCACCCCCACCCTGCCTCGCCTCACCCCACAGGACGAGCCTCCTGCCCACCGCCCCACCTGCCAGAGATCCCCCTGGATCTCCCTCAACCCTGCCGGCCCCCACATGAGTCCCTCCACATGAGCAACATTGAGGTGATCATGCCCACCTTGGCTACACTCACCCAGTCTGCCATGACCACCACAGCCACGCCCACCTGGCACCTGGCGATAAATAAATGTTTTTTTTTGTAAAAGATTTTTTATTTTAAATTTTTCATTACATTCATAAAGAATACTTCAGATAAAGAATAAAGTAAATTTATACAGACAACTTTCGGTATTGCTCACCCATTTCCTCCCAAACCGCATCCACCCTCTAACCTCTTCTCTCACTTCCCTCTTTCCCTCTTCTTCCTCATTCTCCCCCTCTCCTCCTTCTCCTCAACCTTCCTACTTACTTCTCCCCTTCCTCCTATCTTCTCACTCTCTCGCTGCCGGATACGGTCCAGGGGAAATGCCCGAGCAATTCCTTTCTCCAAGTTAAAACATCAATATTATATACAAAAAGAAAACAACTATTTCTACTTATCTGACCTATTTAACCTCCAATCCATCCTCCCCCCACCCCCTCCCCCCACCCCCTTCCCCCCAGTTTCCCAGAGCCAAGTACAGGGTTATACAAACATATTAAACATAATCTACTTAAGTTTACTAATTATACAATAACCAAAATCATACTAACCCTTAACTCTCTTCAAACTTAAACATCATAATTTTATAAACAAATCCATTACTCATAAAATAAATGAAATTTTGTAGTTCCATATTTCTTCTTAACATATTCTATCCATCTTCTCCAATAAATGGGTTTTGGGTTGCTGTTTGGGCACTTGGTCTCTAAAAGGTTCGCCATCACTGGGATAGGCAAGCTCCAGAGATCCCTTCCCTGAAATGTTGCCATCTAGTGGAACATCAGAAGGGTGCCTTTTCATGGCAGCCCTCACCTTATGGAACACCCACCCTCCACCAATCCAGCAAACCCCCACTTTATTAATTTTCCAGTAGGCAATTAAGACTTGGCTTTTTTCCCTGACCGTGGAGCCAAATGAGGGTGCTTGAAATTGGTTGTTGGGGCATCCCAAAGGTATGACTAGAAAGCCATGGTTTGATTGTGTTTTACAGTTTATTGCTTGAGGTTTAGGTTTTTTCATTGTTGTGGAGAACCTTCACAGTTTTTTTTTTTACAATTTTGTGGTTTTATGGCTTTATACTTCAGAGGTTTTGTTGCTGTGGGGAGCCACCACAGTTGTGTTTTAAGGAGGGTGGTTATACAAATCATATAAATAAATAAATAAATAAATAGCAAAAGCCAGTAATCAACTTTTGCAGCTTGAATGGCATATTGGCATCTGGACACTATCATACAATGGCTACCGGGGTACTTGATCACAAAACGATTATAGTGGTGACCCTGTCACCTCCCCTTCTACTTCTGGGCACATTTTGTTTATCATCCTGGGTTGTTTTTGTCCCCCCCCCAACCTGATCAGGTGGGCATGCTTTAATCCAAGCAGGGGGGGGCTGCTGCTACCCACCCTTTTATACTTTAAGAATTTTCCTGAATTGATATGGTAGGATATTGGAAACAGAGATTATGTTTAATTTTTTAAAACAAATTTAAAGAATCTTGTTTTTTTTTTAAAAAAAAAAAAACCTGTCAAGCAGGAAAGGGAGTTTAGTTGATCGATTATGTGTCATCAAATGAATTTTGACTCTACCATATAAGTACAGTAGATTTCTTCCCTGATGACCTGTCCCTAACCTGGTTTTTTTAAGGTCTTGAAATGGTGCAGTCATTGCCACTAGAACTGAGTCCATCCACCTTGCTGTTGGTCATCCTCTTCTTCACTTTCCTTCCACCTTTCCCGGAGAGGTGGGAAACGTAACATGCATAACATGTCCAAAGTAGGATAATTTGAGCCTGCACAGAATACATAGACTCCTTTAAATACTTTGGGACTTGGGAAAGTAAGCTTTTATTAAAATTAAAAAAGAGCCGAAGTGGCGCAGCAGTTAGAGTGCAGTACTGCAGGCCACTTTAGCTGACTGTGTTCAGCAGGTCAGTGGTTCAAATGTCACCGGCTCAAGGTTGACTCAGCCTTCCATCCTTCTGGGGTAGGTAAAATGAGGACCCAGATTGTTGGGGGCAATATAAATATATATATACATTGCTTACTGGTGTACACCGCTTAGAGAGTGCTTGCACTTAAAGCGGTATATAAGTCTCATAAATAAATAAATAAATAAATTGTCCATTCTATTTTATGTGATAGTTTTTCCATTCTGCCATGAGACTTTTCTTATTTTTCTGCAGAATGTTAACACATCCACCCTTCTTGAGAACAGTAAGACCACTTGCTTCTACTAACCTTTTCCTAGCTTCCTACACAACAAACAAGCAGCAGAGAGACAGGATCTTATTCCTTTTACTTGAACGTCCTGCTTGTTTTGTTGTTATTAAATGGAGCTTAAGGCTGAACTGACTTGACACCTTCTTCTTGAGGTATTTGAAAATGATCTTCTAAAGTCCCTTGGGCAGTAACAAAAGAACTTGACTCCTCCTTGGGACCATTGAAAAGTTATGAGATATTTTTCCGTTCCAAAGTGTTCTTTAGTTCCACCTACCACAAAAACAGCTGCTGAAGCCACAAGGGATGACACAGGCAGACAGCTGTCATATCGTGAATCAGACATGAGCTAGGAGCAAGGAAATGAATGTTACCCCTTTGTCTCAAAGACAATGCTATTTTTCAAACTTTTCTATTTAAATAATTCTCTATAGGGAATACTAAGCTATATATACATGGAGGCTGGAAGAAAAGCATCACTATTACCAAATGAATGCAACTTAACCCAATTCTCTGTACACCCAGCACACCTTTGTGCACCCAACATCACGAGGAATTGAAGTGGGCAACTTCTTACACAGCTGAAAGTGCCATTTCTATTGTTTTTCCCAGCAAGGAAATGTCTATGACATAATATTAAATATAACCATTATACAAAATTAAAATTAGGAACTAGAAGGCAAAATTCATTAGTCTGGAGGTACACTAAACAAACAGTATGAAAAGCTGCACTTCATTCTTAGTGAACTAAATTGGCTCCCAAGAAGTGCACTGCAACTCTTAAGTCCCAGAATCTCCTATCTACAGTGCATTAAACTATATCCGGTTCCTAATTATACTCAATTATTACTGCCAAACTGTCAATATATGATGCATTAACAGCTGAATCAATTATTAATATATTTTTCAACAGAATCAGATTTGGTCTCAAAACATATTTCCTGGAGAAAAACGCAAGCTTTATGTTGAGTCCTTGGCGGAAAGCAGACACGAGAAGCAGTTGTAGTTCTCAGTTTTCTTTATTCTGTGTTCAGCTCACAAGTAGATGGCTTCAGCAGCTCCCAAAACCTCCCAGCTTCTTATATAGACATTTCCCAGGTCAATGCGATACTTTTCCCGCGCCAGCACCCGCGTATGCGCACGGCGCTGGCGACAGCCTGTCTGGTCCCGGGCAGCTTTGCACCTGCCCGGGACCGCCTGCAAACGCCCCGAGCCGTTTGGAAGGCTCGGGACATAACACTTTAAGTTTGGACTGCATAAACATTCAGAAAGTGTTTGAAAGGATTGTTTGCTGTTGCTTTGGTCGTGCAATTTAGGAAAGTAGAACATTCACACCTCTGTCTTGATCTTCTAACATTGTCACATTTGAGACTGACATAAAGAGGTTTGTTCAGATGACTTTGGATCAACTGCTGCACGTTAGAAATGTATTTGAAATATCCATGATATTTCAAATCTATCAAGACATTGAACACTGAACTTTTCAGGCTAAACTTAGCTGGCTAAAAATTATCATTTAACATTGGAAGGAAAAATTAATGCCTAACTGATTTGCAGCAACATACCTTTATGTGGTGTGGGTCGACATTAGAAGTAGGTCTTTTACAAAAGGACAAGGAGGAAGTCTTTGATAAAGAGTGTTCTTTTTTAGGACTTGCTCTGCTCATCACATAATTTTCCAAGCCTATTTTGCCTATTATTTTTTATCAGGTTTATTCATGTTGAGGGAATGTATTTAAATATTTTTGCCTTTAACTTTTATTTTATTAATTAGTTTGATATAACAAATCATTTAAAAACATTTATAATAATTAAAAAATATTGTTTCATCCCATTTACATGACTTCTACGTTACATGCCCTCATTCAAGCAGAAAGTAGTACAGAAGATTATTAATTTATTATTGTTTTTCTGTGTATACTGCTGTTAGTTTTATTTTCAATTAGAATTTTCTGAATCCTAGCTTTTCCAAACATTTCTCAGTAATAACTGCTGAGCTGGAATAGCTAGAAACTCCAAAGAAATTATCTTGAAATCAATTCACCTGGCCAAAAGCAAATTGTATGGGGCAGCTTGACCATACAGAAAAGTCTTAAAAATTATCTGAATATTTGAAAAGAGATCAAAATTAGACATTTTCTTTGGCAATTGTACAACTGCACATTTACAACGACAGACTTTAGACTTTTCTTTAAGAGAAGCAGAAAATGAGTCAGCCACACAAAAACCAGGGATCAGTTTTAATTGTGAGCAATCCTGTGACCACTTTAATTGGAGAAGGCGTTCTGACCTCACAGATGAAAACGCTATTTAAGTTCTGCAAGCCAGATGTTCCTCTAGCAAACTAAGCAGCTGTGAGCCGTGGTTTTCCAGGCTGCTTGAACAGAAGGCACAGAATATTTAACTGAAAAGATGATTGCCTTAACTTTTCTTTTTGCATTGTTATGGGATAGAGGTTCTAGCTGGGGATTCAAGGATGGAATTCTACACAATTCTATTTGGTTAGGTAAGTTGACTGATTTTTTTAAATTTTGTTTGTGCTTCTATTAATGAACATTTAACTTCAGAAACAGCTACCATTTCTTATATCAGCCTCTGCGTTCTCATGTAACTTGCATTAAAGATACAAATCTGTACTGAATAATAGCACCACGGAGTTAATATTCTTTGTTTTCCATTTTAAAATAAGTTTTTGCAGAGAAAAGGAATGCCCCTGAAACATGAGCTGTGAGAGCGATGCTATCTAAAAGCTTGAGCTATACTGAAAGCTAGACCTTTAGAGATGTGTATGGAGAGAGAAGAGACCTAAAGAGAAACAGCTGTGCAAGATACATATCAGCCTTTCCTTTGAACATAAATAATTCCTGAAGATGCTGCCTAAAAATACAGTTTCCAAATAGTTACATGTCCTTCCCTATACTGCATTTTCTTCATTGATTAATTTAGATTTCTTAACCTGGCAACAGCTTCCAATCATGTCCAACTAGCATGGCTTAAATAGTTGTAGCTGATGGACACTGCAGTCCACCCCATGTGAATGGCCCCAGATGGGGAAGGCAGTACTATTTCTTCTGCTCCATCTCTTCTCTTTCCTACCTCTTTGGTCGTAGTGTTCCACTCATTGTATTTTATATCCATCCCAAGAGGTATTCCATCCTCTTTCAGCTTACAGCTCTGTTCCTCTCCAGGCAGCCCTTGCTCCCACAAAATAGAAAAACATACTCCTTAACCAGAAAAACATTTCCCACAACATAAGGACAGTCATGTCAAGTCTCCCTCCTGTCAAGCTCAACACTTGGTGACTTAGTAGTAGCTTAAAAATGGTTGGCTATTGCCTGCCTCCAGGATATATACTATTTGCAATCTAATATACAGCCTTGGGATTTTTCTGGAAGTGTCTTATCTAAGTATTAACTAAGCCACTCACCTTGTTTAGGTTTTTGAGATCCTTCATGGACAGCAGGTAAGCCTAAAGATGGTTTGTTTGGCTTGGGCTTGGCTTGGTGTTGTAAACACAGTGATTTGTAAACTAGAGGTGATGGATTCAGAGATTGATTCTGTGATCCGCAGAGGATATGTGATAACAAACTGGGGGGAGGGAGCCTTAGCGTATTGTAAAGTGAAACCTTTCATTAAAATCTCTGGTTCAGACATTGTTGTTTCCATTTTTTTTTTTTAAATTCTGGCAGTGTAAGCAAACAGAGCGTAGGAAACCTTTTTATTTATTCACCTTACTGGAATATAATTGCCCATTCACTGGAGTGGCCCCCTCTAATTCAAAACCCAGATAAAATTGCTGACTCTTTCCAATTCCTCATTCTCAATATAAGATGAAGAAATACTGGAACTTTGATGTTGTTGTTTTCTGCTGGGGGGGGAAGTAACATTGGAACAGATATTAGTCTGAGGAAATACCCTCAAGAAGCGTATCTTAGGTAACTCTTGCTAATCAGAATAGTACTGGGTTTGATGGATGAACTGTCTATCTCTATAAAGCAGATTTATATGTGTCCCAAATAATTTTATCCAGGGGCCTGGTTATTTCAGAATGAGTTTGGCTCAGTTTCAGTTTAGTGTCTTCTGTGAAGTCAGCCACTGTGATTAATAAACCACAGCTTATAGTTTAATGAATAGGGAAAATCTGCAACTCTTCCAGGCTACGTTGCTGGCCCAGAGCCCTTCTGAAGCAAATGGCTAAAATTCAGCAAAGCTATTTGTTTTGGGCGGAATATCCTGGGCCAAAACAAGAGGCATGGTAGGTACACTGAATTTCCACAAGATAACTTAATTTTGCCTTTAAACCACTCCCTTGCTGGTTCAGAATGGAAGCATTATTTCAAAAGTTATTCCAATGATAGTGGGCTATGTTCAGCATCATTAAGTGCTTTGTTCAACACAGAATATCAATGCCCAATGTTGCAGAGGCAAGCAGAAAAAGATATTTGTAGGAGAGGGGTTTTTTGTGTGTTTTTTTTTAGAGGAACTATGAGAACCTCCTATGCCACAGAGGAAAGAGTGGGTTGAAGGATCAGTTTAACTGGGTGCTTAGCTGCTTTTTAAAAGGATAAAGAGAAAAACATGATAATAGTTCAGTGAGACACATGTAAGTACAGGTAGGCCTCGATTTACGACCAGAATTGAGCCCAAAATTTCTGTTGTTAAGTGAGACATTTGTTAAGTGGGGTTTGCCCCATTTTATGACCTTTCTTGCCACAGTTGTTAAGTGAATCACTGTAGTTGATAAGTTAGTAACCTGGTTTCCCATTAACTTTGCTTGTCAGAAGGTCGCAAAAGGGGATCACGAGACCCTGGGACACAGCAACGGTCATAAATATGAATCAGTTGCCAAGCATCTGAATTTTGGTCACATGACCATGGGGATGCTGCAAAGGTTGTAACTGTGAAAAATGGTCACAAGTCACATTTTTCAGTGCCATTGTAACTTTAAACAGTCACTAAAAGAAGTGTTGTAAGTTGAGGACTACTTGTACACATCTTTTGAGATATTAATTCATTTTGTGAAAGATTTAGTGATCTTCTATGAAGATGAAGCATCATAGACATCACTTTTTCCTCCCTACATACAAAGAATAATTTTTAAATTCTATTTAGCAGATACCTAGCTGTTCAATGAAGAGCATTATAAATACAAAAAAAGTATGTGCCACATTTATACTTGCTATTGAAAATAGTTCTTGGCTAGATATGGGTCATGCCTAGAACTTATCCAGAACTTCATAATCTTTGTGTCTTGACAGAATGCTCTGGCCATGTGCTCCTCCTTGTTTTTGTTTTTTTCCTTTCCTCTTCTTCTAATTTTATTTTTACTACTGTAGTTACTTGCTGTGGAAACTTTCTTTTTAAATTGAAAAAAAAAAAACCCTTATCGTAAATGCCTAAATAAACGGTAACTTCCAAAAGTGAGAGAACTTTCATTGCACTTACAGCCTTGCAGACCTCTATAGCAGCTCTGGAATAGGATATTTTAAATCTGACATGGCCCAAACAATATCACTTCTATTTCTGTAGAGGGCAATTAAAGTCACAATTATTCAAAAAGAAAAAAAAGGGAGTAGAAAACCTCAATTCTACATCTTTTTTTCTTCCTTAAAAGTTTTAGCCAAATGTAAACATGGTTTTTCATTCTTCCGGGATTCATTGAACACATACAGAGACAAGGGGGAAGGGGACAGGGAGAGATAGAGTGTCAGCAGGAAGGAAAGAAAAAATAATTTAAGATAAGCATTGACCTGGGGTTGAGCATTTCCAAATTAAACACTGCACTCTTTGGGGGTCTGTAATGAAAGGAAATGGAATCCTTCAGTAATTTTCTCATATGTGAGGGCAAAGACCAGAATTACCACTTTTAATTAAAACAATTTAAATGCAGATTTGAGTAATTGGAAGGAAGGCATTATTAGGTTATATCAGGATTTAATACATTCACATCTTCCTTCCTTTGAGGCTTGAGGAAATTGCCCCTTCCACCTCAAGCCAAAAAATAATCATTTTTTTATTTTCCTAACCCTGATTATGTTCACGTGACACATAACCCCCCCAAAAAAATCCTGATTAATGAACATGCATTTTGCCCCCTCCGGAGCATGTGCTTTTAAAGCAGCAAACTACAGTATATCATCTAAACCAGGGGTGTTAGACCTGCAGCCTGCAAGCTGTACCCAGCCCAAGCTTTTCTCAGCAATCTGCATCAGTATTTGGAAAAAGACAAACCATGCTTACATCTCTTAGCTAGCAAGAACTACCCAGTTCCGGTTGCTGGAATTAGGTATGTCTAGTTTAATGAAGAGAAGGATGAGGTGGGACATGATAGCAGTGTTCCAATATCTCAGGGGCTGCCACAAAGAAAAGGGAGTCAAGCTATTCTCCAAAGCGCCGGAAGGCAGGACAAGAAGCAACAGATGGAAATTAATCAAGGAGAGAAGCAACCTAGAACTGAGAAGAAATTTCCTGACAGTCAGAACAATTAACCAGTCGAACAACCTGCCTCCAGAAGCAGTGAATGCTCCAATACTGGAAGTTTTTAAGAAGAGACTGGACAGACATTTGTCTGAAATGGTATAGGGGGGTTGGACTAGATGACCTCCAGGGTCCCTTCCAACATTATTATTATTATTATTATTTAGATTGATAGGCTGATAAAGATAAGGAGGGAAGGAAAAGAGAAAAGGAGGGTGCTTCTGGTAACTTAAGAGGGATCCGGTACATCTCAATTTACAACAGTTTGTTTAGTGACTGACTGAAGTTACAAAAGCCCTGAAAGTTTCATATGACTGTTGTTCATACTTATGACCATTGCAGCATCCCTATGGTCACATGATTAAAATTCAGACACTTGACAACTTATTGTTTATTCAGTGTATGGTGAGAACATGACAGAAAAGAGGTAAACATAAACATAATCCATGTAATTATTTACAATTTCTAAGGAGGTATGGCAGCGGCCTTATAACTGGATGTCCAAATCAACTATCCAGGTGATTTCCTCTGGCATTGCTTTATATAGAACTAATCTAGGGAACCAGGGAACTCATGTTGTGGGTAACCTTACACAATATGTTTAATAGTTTGCATATCAGCATCACAATTACAACGAGGGGAAACTTTTAACCCCCACTGATCAAGGGCAGAGGCACTTCTTTCAGTATCACACCTAATACTGATCAATTTCAATCAGCTAGAGCAGGGGTAGGCAACCTTGGCTCTTTTATGATTTGTGGACTTCAATTCCCAGAATTCCTGAGCCAACCATGCTGAGGGGAAAGGGAGAGGTTTCCATGCTGAGCCATGGTGGCTCAGGAATTCTGGGAATTGAAGTCCATGAGTCATAAAAGAGCCAAGGTTGCCTACCCCTGAGCTAGAGTAAGGCAGGTCAAAATCAGGTAGTTTGGTAATGGTCAGGCCACAAGAAGATATCTCGGACCATTCCTCTCTCTCCAAGCATTGGCAACTAACTCACGTTTATGATGGTTGCCGTGTCCTGGGATC